CATACAAGGCATCCGAGTGCACGCGCTTCTCAGGAAAGCTTGTGAAAAGTACTTGCAAAACAAATTTTTTTTCTTCAACAATATTTTTTTAAATAATCTTTTTTTTAATATTTTTTTTTTTTGTGTGGCAAAAGAAAAAAGATAACTATTTGTCATAACTATTTCATTATATTCTTTATTTTATCCCTATTTTACTCTTATTTAAAGTTACCAAAATAATCAAATAGCTAACACTAGTATAAACTTCTTAAGTAGATATTTTTGTTCTTTTATATCTACTTTTCTTTGTTGAAAACGTTGATTATATATTTTAAATTATTACTGTTATTAATACTTTTTGTTTTATTTTTGTAATATAAATATTTATACTTATATTACAAAAATAAAATTGCTACATTGTAATAAATGTAATACTACATTTTATAAATCTTATGAAATCAAGTATGAAACCACTAAATATATAACCATTTCCTAAATGTATATGTAACCATGAATAAATTTCTAGTCAGTATATAGATTACTAAAATCTATTATATAATTTAAAATTATATAATAGATTTTCTATTATATTATTTAAAATAATAACAAAATATTTGATGACTTTCATTCAGAAAATTAAAGCAAACTTTTTAAACCAAAAATATAATATATATTAAAAAAATATTTAAATTTATTATTAAACCAAAAATATTATATATACAGGCCGCGGCGGGAAGCGAGAGCTTTAGCTCTCCCTCTTGCCCACACTCCCCTAAAACGATTTACGGGAGCAATTTACGGCTCTTGTAAAAGTATAATTTTTCTTTTGAAAGTATAATTATCGTTGTAATTAAAATAAAAAATACAATTTCATTTAAAAAAAAATTAATTGCATAATATACTGTAATGCTTTTTAAAAGACACAAATGTTGCAAAAAAAAATTAAAATTAAAATTGAACCTTAATCTAAATGAGGAGCAGCTCGCACAGCTCTCCAAGTTCGTTTTAGGAGAGTTTTTTACCGCTCTCGTGCTTATTTATTCTCGCCGAGGCCTGTATATATATATATAAATATATATATATATATATATATATACATATATATATATATACATATATATATATATATATACATATATATATATACATATATATATATATATACATATATATATATATATATATATATATATATATATATATATATATATATATATATATATATATATATATATGCAGTAGTGGTGTAGTAGTAGAGCACTCACTTCATAAGCGAGAGGTTCTAAGTTTGATTCCCACCATGTCCCTGGTAGTACCGTGCTCAACTTGTTTCTCCACGCAACAGCCTTGATCGTCAAAATTTGTGTTTCAGAGTTATAGAGTTAAAGGGATCCCAAACTCCCAACACATGTTGTGTTCATATTAAAGATAATGTTAAAAAAAAAGGTTTGAACCAAATTTTTTTGATTAAAAATAAATAATGAATGCATACCGTGAAAAATAAATGTTGTTGTTTTTGCCGAAGCTCGCCTTCTCCATTTTTTTCAACTACTCGGAGTTTTCAAATTATGCGTCGCAATCTACAGACTTTGGCAATTCCTTTGAAGCGAGTTTAATTCATAAAAGTTTTAGTATTTGACGTCACGGTAGACTTTTAACAAAAGAAACTCTGGAAATATTTTTATTTATTTTTAGTCAAAGTTTTTTTGGTTATTTGTTTAGTTTTTTTTTTTTCTACTTTTAATATTTAAAAAGATATTAAAAACCTTAAATATTTTATGCTGGTTCGTTGCTATAAATTGTTATTGCGCCATATATTTAATGTTTTGAGATAAATTATGAATATTTATCTCAAAATTTTTATCTCAAAAATTGTTTTACATTAATTACCCGTATAAAATTAAAAATATTTATCTAAGTAAAAAATATTTATCTTAAAAATTGTTTTACATTAATTACCCGTATAAAATTAGTAACAGCTTTTTTATTTGGTTAGACGATATTTCGTTTCAATTTGCTTTGCATGAAGTTCGGAAAGTCAAACGAAAAAAATAAGTTTGAATAATCACGTCGAAATATATTTAAAACAAATTATTTTAATGACAGGGGTTCTAAATTTTTTTTATAACAAATGTAGGTAAAAAAATAAATAACTAAATAAAAAGTTCAGTATTAAACACCATTTCTTTATTATATTGCAACTGTAAATATTGAATTATTAACTTGAACTAAATTTACTTATTATTTAGAACGACTAAGCAATAAAAGTAAAATGCCCCTAAAATGATGCGAGATTATTGTTTATGTGTTGTTTATTTGATAACTGTTGTTGGTAATGTTGTTTATGTTGATTATTTTCATAAATATCAAAATAGTTCCAGATTAATCTGTTCGTTGCTTTGCTAATTGTTGATTTATTTCTAATTTAATTTTATCTCAAACTATAATTATATGTTAAAAAAGAAAAGTTTTTATTTCATCGGGCACTCTTTTTATAAAAGAGTAGAACAAAAGAGAAAGAAAAGTTTCGCGTAATTAAACTTTGAATGAATAAGAGTTGTTATAGAATATTTTTTTTTTTTGCGTCACTCGTTCTTTTTTTAGATGAGAGAAATAAAAGTTTAATAGTAAATTTTCTTTGAATAAATGAGAATTGGAAGAGAAAATTGCTTGAAAACTTGTATTTGTTATATGTGTTTTAAAAATTTTTTAATTTTTCATGTTAAGAGACAAATGACAATTACGACACAAATTTGGAAATACCAAATATAATATGTTTTTTAATGCGCGTTATGACATTTTAACAATTTAAATTACCATCTATCTTGAATTATTGCCTTTAATCAATGTGTTAATTATTGCATTATTTAAAAATAATTTGTCCGTATTTTTGTTAAATATTAGTTGTATAAAACGGGCGAAAATATACAAACTTCATGTTTTTTATTTGATGGTTATAAAATATTGAACAGTAAACTTATAATTAAAATTTATAATGCCGACTTGTGTTGCAATTAATTGTACTTTTAATGCAAAACCAGGATCTCACATAACCTTTCACGAATTTTCATATCTGATACTACTGTCAACTGTATTGTTTAGTGTATTCTTGTACTTTTTTTTTCATAATCTTAACAGGTTCTAATTGGTATGGAGTTGCTGACATTTTAAAAATTTCATTATCAAAAATCAAATGTAAAATAAAATGGTATTTCCTTTTTATCCGTATCCAATTCAGCAAATTTAACAATTTAAATTAAATCAGCAAGATCAAAAAAATTTTATAATAAAAAAAGTTAATAATTCATTAAATATCTCTAATTAATACTGTCAGTTTATGATAGTAATTGTTAATAAATACTTTTTTTTCAACAGGAAAACAAAAAATTGTCATAGCGTAAAAATAACCAAAGAAGTTAGAAAATAGTTCCCATTGTTTAAATAAAAATAATTAAGAATCAGAATATATAATACTGCGCTCTCTTGCGCAAAAACAAGAGACCGTATATAAAACGTTCTATATAATGTAAAATACTCGTATGAAAATCATGAGATTGATAAGTAAAGCTTTAACATTTGTTTTAATTTAAATAATTAAAGAAATATAAGTAAGATAAATAAATCTAAAAATTATTAAGATATCTGTAAAAAATAAGTTGCTCCTATAAAATAAAAATAATTTATTGTTTTTACTTTTTACAAATTTTTTTTTGCGATGTTTGGAAAAATAATACAAATAAATTTGTTTTGCTGTATGTTAAAAAAATACTACAGTAGAAAAACGCAGCTTAATTTAATTACACTTTTCTTTTGTTAAAAGTCTACCGTGACGTCAAATACTAAAACTTTTATGAATTAAACGCGCTTCAAAGGAATTGCCAAAGTCTGTAGATTGCGACGCATAATTTGAAGACTCCGAGTAGTTGAAAAAAATGGTGAAGACGAGCTTCGGCAAAAACAACAACATTTGTTTTTCAGGGTATGCATTCATTATTTATTTTTAATCAAAAAAATTTGGTTCAAACCTTTTTTTTTAACATTATCTTTAATATGAACACAACATGTGTTGGGAGTTTGGGATCCCTTTAAGAGAGGGTTATAACTACAAGTAGCCTCCTCATCTGTAGTAGCCTTCTCGGCCTTGGGGAAGGGGGGGGGGTGAGGTTAATTACAAAAAAATATATATATCAACCCTTGAAATTATACAAACTTCAGGAAAAACTAGATCGGCAAATTATTGCTGAACTCAATCTTTTAGAGGTCGGCAAAAAAAATGATACAAAGGTCTTCTGAAAAAAATTAGAAACAAGGTCGACAGTTTATTGCACACCTCAAACACTTTTAGGTTGGCATTGCTGAATGCTGACCCTAATTCCAAGTGCTGGTATATGTATCAGCCCTCGGAATATATATACATAAATATATATATATATATATATATATATATATATATATATATATATATATATATATATATATATATATATATATATATATATATATACATATATATATATAAATATATATATATATATATATATATATATATATATATATATATATATACATATACATATATATATACATATATATATATATATATATATATATATATATATATATATATATATATATATATATATATATATATATATATATATATACATATATATATACATATATATATATATATATATAGATATATATATACATATATATATATAGATATATATATATATATACATATATATATATATATATATATATATATATATATATATATATATATATATTTATATATGTGTGAGTGTGTGTGTGTGTGGGTGAGGGTGAATATGTAATTTTGTTATTTACTATTTTATAATAAAAGATACATGTTTAATTGAAATTAAATTTCTACCAAGACTAAAACTAACTAATACATGGTAGGGTGTGGAGTGCAATCTAATTAATCATTATATGGTGGGGTGTGTAGGCAGGTGGAGTGGAAATATTTAAAAAAATAATTAAAAAAAACTTGCCATCATAAATGCTGCAGCCGATGTAACTGCTTTTTATGGCAAACAACATCAAAGGTCTAAAATAAATTATACATTTTTTTCTAAGCAAAATAAAAAACTCATACTATTTAATACAATAAATTACAGCACAAGTGTGATATATGAGTATTATCTTTTTTTTAATGTACATACTTTTGTTTTTATACTTTTCTCAACTTATAAATTTATTTATAACCTCCAAAAATTATAATAACTTTCATTATAAATTAACAAATTTAATAATATATTTATTTACATAAATTTAAGAGAAGTATTTCAAATTTTAAAAATCAAACAAGTCAATTACTATTATTATTAAATATTATTTAACAATTTGTGCTTCATTAAACTTCAGAGAAAAACTGCACTTGACACATAAATGCAAGGCCACCAACATTTGATGTAACTTAATGTACTTGGTAATAAATTTAACTAATTTAATATCATGCATGCTTGATTTGAAATGAATGTAAGTAATGTACAGAATTGGCTTAATCTGCCACTTCTGTACATTAATTGAAAAAGTTGATGCTGATTTTTACACGATCAGCATCAACCTAAAATTGATTTAAAATTTTTTTAGCCAACATCTATTTTTTTTTTATTTAGTTTTATTATGCATTTTATAAACTACATGTTATAAATTAAAACAAAGAAAACTCAATATATTGCTGGATTTTTAAGGTAACAGGTCTATATTTTAATAAAGGCTTTTAAATTTTTAGAAAAAACTATAGGATTTGATATTATTTTTAATAATACCTTAATTAATTGATAACAACTTATGCTTTTCTGTTCATTGACATTATAATTGACATTAAGGGTCAAAAGTATGTAAAAATCATTTTAAAAACAAATATGATTAAAATAAACTTTATAAATGGTTCAAGGATAAATATTATTAGCTAAACATTATTAGCTTTAGAGATTTTTTAGTTATTATTAACTATAGAGGAGACCAGGGCTAGTTGCAACAGGGAGAAGTTGCAACAATGTGTTTATTTATATATTACTCCTAAATTTTTTTACATTATATAATTTTCATTGTTACACGTCAGCTATAAAATGCTTACTGTTATAAATTAAAAAGTTATTGATAAATTTATTTTTTTGATAAAAAAATTTTAATTTTTTGTTTTTCAAGTTTTTTTGTAAAACTGTAAACTTAGAGATATATGACCATAATTTTTAATTTAAAAAACAACTTTCATTGAAAAACTACAAACGAACTTGAGCGGCTCCCAAATGTTGCGCAAATACATTCAACACTTTCGAAAATAATATAATTATATATATATATATATATATATATATATATATATATATATATATATATATATTATATTATAAATAATATAATATATATATATATATATATATATATATATATATATATATATATATATATATATATATATATATATATATATATTTAAACAATTTTAAAAAATGTATTCCACAAAATAGTGCTCAATGTTCTTAAAAGAACAGAGCAATTATAAATTAGTAGAAAATCACTTAACAAAAATCACTTAAAAAAAAAAAAAAATTGTGTGAAGTGATTTTCTACTAATTTATATATATATATATATATATATATATATATATATATATATATGTATATATATATATATATACACATATATATATCATGTATATATCATATATATATGATATATACATACATACATATATATATATATATATATATATATATATATATATATA